AGCCTCCATGAGGTGAGCGGCGAAGGGGAGGAGCCGCCGTGCTAAGCTCCGCCTCGGGGACCGCTGCCCGTGTTTGGGATGGGGACACGTGGTCGGGCGGGTGGCCGTTGGTTTGTGAGGGCGGGGGAAATAACTTTTCTCCTCTCGCTTCGTCGCCCACCTCCTCGGCTTGGGGGGGGGGGACGGGGGCGGACACGGCGGCTTTACAGCAGCGACTCAGGCCTTGCATTTATGTGGCCTTCTGAATCGCTATGCCCGGAAGCGAGGTAGAACACCCTCCCTTTAGTTACTTATTTCTTTGTTTTTATTATTATTGCAGTGTTTTATTTTCTGCCATTGGGTCTACCGTATAACCGCTGCGTTTGGGCGAGTTCACACATCTGCCGTGGTTTACTTAAGTTGATAACCGTTCATCATCTAGGTTGCTGAATGTGTGCAAGAAATGAGTTAAATCGATTCGCTAGGTCAGAGGTCTTCAAACTTGGCAACTTTTAAGACTTGAGGACTCCCAGAATTCTCCAGCCAGCACAGCTCCACTGAAGTCCACAAGTCTTAAAGTTGCCAAGTTTGGGGATCCCTGTCTCAGGTTGTGGCTCTGCTGGGCAATCTCTTCCGTAGCCCGTATGCAATAACTATTTTACTGTTACAGACAAAAATTGCTCTATATTGATTACTTATTCCTTCACCAAAGTTCTTTAATGGAAATAATGTTTCAGTTTTGTTGATAACAAATCTGCTTAATATTCAGAGTAATGTTAATCTTCATATTTCGCAGAGCATCAAATTGATTTCTGTATCTCCTTTTTGAGACAAAATAATAATAAAATCTGGATTCCCATAAGTATATCAAACAAAAAGAACCATCAGATGTTTCACCAGATTTGGATACTCTTGAATTAAGCTGCTTGAAAAATAATTCAATGGAAGTTTATTAAATTTTTATTCTAATTGAGATTAAACTAAACAAAGAGTAGTTTCTAGTCTACATTTAGAAGAGAAAACCTTTTGGTGTGTCCCTTCATTTTCTGGACATTCCTTTTCCTTTTTAAAATTGATGAAGATCTTATTAAATATAGAAGAAGTAGAATATAAGTGATTTGATTAATTAAGAAATTAGAAATATTTGTGGAAGGAAGGAATTTTTATAATAAATATATTGTTAGAGCACATAAAAAGGAATTAAAAGGGCAGGATTGGAGATGGTTATACTTTTCAGATAGATGATAGATAGATGGATGGATGGATGGATGGATGGATGGATGGATGGATGGATGGATGGATGGATAGATAGATTGATAGATTGATAGATGATAGATAGAT